CACACACACTCCTAATTAGGAAGACCAAAACAAAACCAATCACAAGCCCTAGCTCATCATCTCGATAGCCATTTGCTGTTATTTTCCTTCTCTGGACATTAGCCAACTCAGAAAAGGGTTCCAAAAAAATTTCAACACTGCTGACAGTCATGGTCATTAATATTATTGACACTGTTTATTTTTTTTTAATGGCCATCTTCTAAACCCTTATATCCAACCTTCCAGAAGAGTGTATTTATAGGAGTGGAGCCAAATGCAGCGCTGAACGCTATCTATAGAGAGTTTCCAGCCATTCTAATGTTAACTAGGCTTCAGGTCCAGGGGATCTCCCCTCCTGTTCCAGCTGCCCTTGGGGTCCCTTCTCCTTCACGCCCCCTTGTCACTGACACACCCTAGAGAAGGGGCAGGGGAGGTGGCCGTCTCTAGTTTCTCTCGGTTTCAAAGCCAATCTCTGCGGGAAGCAGGGATGGGGCACAAGAGGCAGGACGGGGGCTATTGATAATGCCCACTTCTGCTTCCCTCCGCCTTCTCCCCTTCCCCCCAGCTCTGTCCGCTTCCTTTCACTGGAGGTGGCTCCTGGCTCCAGCAAATAACTGCCTTTCTCTGCCCCCTTTCTGAGCAGGGAGAAAGGAAAGGTCTTGATTTTCCCCTGAAAAGGAGACTAATCCTACTCTCCTCTTTGGTTTTCCAAATAACCCCTCTCAGCATCCCTAAAACCTTTGATTTCTCTCCAGTGGAGGTTCCCAGTGCAGATTTTAGTTTACATAAGAATCCTCCTGGAGATTAGGTCAAAATGCAAATGTCTTGCGTGCCCCTAGAGTTTGTCTAGGGATTTGCAGGATTAACGGACACTCCTTGAGAGCCTGATGCTCTCATACCTTTTTGTACTGCTTGCACTTTTTTTTATTGGGCACGGGGTGGTCCAGGATAAAACTTTCTTAAATATTGGTGAAAATTTCTAAGAGGGAAGAGCAGCCAGACCAGAAGCTGGAGTTTTTCTGCGTCACGCAGGGGAAGCAAACCATACCGATGAAGACTGGCTCCCTGTGAAGGACTGGAGCGGAGCCCTAGTCATATTCCAATGAGTATCTGGAAGGGAGTTTTCTGTGATGCTTTTATGGCTTCCTGCAGTCTTTTAACTTCCTGTTAGTAGTTCTTTTCTAAAACCCCTGGAAGATGCCCACGGGGCTGTTACTGTTTTTAGGACTGTGAGGGGTCCGGTGTATAGTATGGTGAGGGAGGCAACGCAGGAAACCCTCTTTGGAAGCAATGTCAGGGCAGAGAGCAGGGTAGGACCTTGCCTCCAGCCCTGCCCCCAGCCCTGCCCCCAGCCCTGCCGCCAGCCCCACCCCCGCCCAGCGCGGCCCTGCTAACACAGAGAACCTGAAGCAGAATTTATTTTCCTTCTCCCTACTTCTTATTCACTGGGTTGGGCACACACCTGATTAGGATAAAGGAGGCAGAGCCTTGGAAAGGTCCAATTACCTTGAGGATAGCACACCCTAAAGGCAGATGGATGAGAAGGCTCCTCTGCCTCTGCCCTCCATCCCCTGTGCAATACAGAAGGGCCCCTTTGGGGTCGAAGTCCTGGCTACTAGGTCTGGAAGAAGCAGGACCCTGTGAATGGGCACAAAATGAGATGAGAGGACCAAGGAGTCTATAAAACGATAGATTCTGGAGCCGAGTTAATAGAAATTGTAACAAAGGTTTTTACTGTGAGAGAGAACATGAATGATCGAGGGTGTCCAGGTTAAGAGGCCAAGAGCAAGAGGGCTCAGCAAGGTCACACCAAGGACATTTCTCAGAGTGAGATGAACACCCAGACAAACAAGACAAAAAGGGCCCCGTCTCAGGGCCACATGAAGCCACACAGCGTATTTAGGGAGCTGAGGGTTTGGAGTTGTTGGAGCCAAAATGTGAGTGTGAAGAGGAAGAAAATCATAACCACACCGGGGTGTCAATGCAGAATCAGATTGGAAATGTAGTCCTGTCTGACCTGGCCCTGCTAGGGTTTTACAGAGGCGGGGGATCTTTTGAAAGCTCACTCTAGAGGCCAGGTGGACGATGACTGAGAGAAAGGGAGGGGAGGTGGACGAAATAAAGTTTTTGCAGTAATTATTGTTGCTGCTCAGGGCTGTAGAGTCGGTTCCAACTCATAGTGACTCTGTACAACTGAACCGAAACACTGCCTAGTTCTGCTTCAAGTCCTCTTCCCTTTCAGCAAGCGAGGTTGTGTCATCTGCATATCGCAGGTTACTAATGAGTCTTCCACCAATCCTGATGCCTTGTTCTTTTTCATATAGTCCAACTTCTCAGATTATTTGCTCAGCACACAGATTGAATAAATATGGTGAAAGGATACAACTCTGATGCACGCCTTTCCTGATTTTAAACCACAAAGTAGCCCCTTGTTCTGTTCGAACGACTGCCTCTTGGTTTATGTACAGGTTCCTCATGAGCACAATTAAGTATTCTGGAATTCCCCTTCTTTCAAATGTTATCCATAATTTGTTATGATCCACACAAGCTTGGGACTCCCCATGATACCAACACTTCTGGCCTGCCAGCTACGAATTCAGGGGCTCCCTCTACCCCCTCAGGATACCAGCTGCTGACTCTCATTATTACCTTCAGGTCAGTAATTCACTGGAATAACTTGCAGAACTCCATGGAAGGCGCTATATTTACGATCACACTTTTATTACTGTGAAAAGGATACAAATAAAGAGATGCATAGGGCGAGGTCTGGGGACACTCCCAACGGGCTGCTTCTATGTTCCAAAAAGGGATGCACTACCCTCCCTTGTGCATGAATGTCTTTCACCAGACAGGAAGCCCGTGGAGATTATGTACAGAGTTTTAATGGGGTCTCATTACGTTATACAAACCCCAGCTCCTCTTCCCTGAGGTCGGCTGATATCACGAGGTGATCATTAGGTTTTTTCACATGGTGGGTTTTTCTGGCCTGGCCAGCCTCCACCCCAGAGTCACCTCATCACCTCACCTAACCTGTTAGTTATGTGTGGTCTGGAGTCCTTATTGAAGACACTTAAATACCTTTTTTTTTTTTTTAAAGATTACGTCTCAGAAACTAAGGACAAGGACTAAATCCTTTGGGTAGAGTTAATGCAAACCCCACAGCCACGAATTCAACTGGCTATAACCTAAAATTACTTTAACCTTAGTGTATGCCTTGCACGTGTGATGCTAGTTTTCCTGTTACAGCAGCCTGGCGGCACACTTCTTAGTCTTATGTCTTGCTCCGTAGGTGAGTGGGCCATTTAACTGAGTTCCAAGTAAGTGAGGTGTGACAAAACTTTCACTGGAAGCAAGGCATAAACACACACATGCACAATTTTGTTTTATTTATTTTCTCACTGGCACTGACCTACCACACTTAAAAATTCCCATGAGACTCAAAAATAATTTTATTTCTGAAGAAAGGAAATATTTTAAATACCCATATAGCATTTGCTTTTATTGCTCTATTGTTAAGATTTTTTTCTTCTACAGTGGAACGTGTTTTGGATTCACCCACTGCAAAAGCCTTTGCTACACATTCATATAGACTGGTTACTAATACATCTTCCTTTAGTAAGAAAATAAGATGAGCATAACTTTGAGTGACTTATTTTACTGTTCCTGAGCCTTGGTTTCTTCATGAGCAAAATGCAAGTCAGTAAAGATTAAAACAAGGTTATGTGGGAGGACACAGTAAAAGGTGTTTATTATTTTAACATGAATTCAACCAAAATCCCAACAGAGCAATACCAATGACAACACAGGCAGTCCTTGTGTTACGAACATCTGACTTCTGTACAATCATAGTTATGAACCAACCTCCGTAAAGCCTACTATATTAAAAATTGAAAGTACATACAATGGCTCTTAATAACAATTGGATGCTACTTATATACTGTATTATTATGTTAAAGAAGTTTTAGTGTATCTGGAAGTGTTTAATTTTTTTATGAATAGAAAGGTACACTATATACTACATACTAAGACAAACATCTGATTTATGTACACATTCGACTTACAGATTTAGAATGGAAATGGTTTATAATCCGGGGTCTGCCTGTATATTTACTATATAGCTTTAAAAAATTGTTCATTGCTGTCCCCTTATCTACCCAGAAGGAATGAAAGCTAGCCTGGGAGGCTGCCTGGCAGGACCACGGATGTGTGAATTGGAAGCCAACTATTCTATCCAGTTCAACCCTCCCACCTAGCAGATGGGAGAATGGAGGTGCAAGGGGTTTGTGAAACTTGGCCACAGATAGACGACTTTGGGCTGAGCCAAGTCGAAGACCAGGGTTCTTTTCACCAATACTTTCAGTATGTGGCTCTTTGCAATTTTACAAAGCATCTCCTCAGCTCCATGGCCTGACTTCATCTATTACATTGTAATACTCAGCTTCTGGAGATGGCTTTTTTTCTTTTTTTCCCTTCTTATCTTTGGCAGAGAGTCTTGGGTATTTTTTTTGCATTCTCAGACCCCAGTGTTGCAGCAGCTGATTATACACTAAACCTTAAATATATATAAATATGTATATACATATATGTGTGTGTGTGTACACATATATATGCATATACAGAAGAACCAAGTCTCCCTGAGTCACCCTGTGCAGGCCACACCCCTTCAGACTCACAAAGCATGAATGCGGGATGGCCTTCAGTTTGAGAATTCCCAAGCTGCCTTAATTCTAAATGCCTCAGAAGTGTTTACCCTTTCAAACAGGCGTGGGAACATTTATAGTCTACCCTTTAGTCAGTCTCGTTTTGAGAAAGAACGGTGAGGTTGGCAAGCCACTCTTCATGTCATTTTTGCAGTTAAGTCCTTCAAAGAACAGAGTGAAGCTAATTCATTTCTCCTTCCAGAACTTTCCTTCTTATTATTTTTCTTTGTTGTAAAGTAATGATGTTAAAATATGGGTATGTGGACATTAAAAAAGAAAAGGGAGGTCATGTGAGAGCAGGAATCAGACAAGAAATAAAGCAAAAAAAAAAAAAAAAACTATAGAAATAAAAAATCAACACTTGGGGGTAGGGTGGGAGGTGACACATTCTTTTCACACAGCTGTGACACACAATGCAACTGTCCTCAAAGTCAAGAATGGAAAAGAACAGACACACTCAGCTGCAGAATGAAGCTGTGGTCTTGGATTTATAGCTTTTAATGTCTTCAAAACTGGGCAGGGCATCAAGTGCCTTTTCCTGAATAGGCCAAGGAAGATAAGTCCAATTTGGTTTTTAAAGCTTTAGAAAGCTCTGTGGCCAGCAGCTGGTGGAGGGATACGCCATCGTGGGAGTACACCCAGTTTTTCCCGGTCCAATCATAACGCTTGGGCCCACTGGAAGATAAAACAAACACACAGTCAGTCCACAAGGACAGCCCTTTAGAAGAGGCACATACTGATCCCACAACACCTGCCACCAGGAAACTGACCGGAGTGAAGTTCTAGAAAGTAAAACTTAATGAGGCATATATCTGATGTCTTGTCTTAGGGTTCTTCTATTTAAGAATATTTACACATTTTACCCTCTGGGACAATTCCCAGAATGATTCTCAAGGCCTTAAAACATCTGAACCTTATTGTTGAATCTCCATTTATCACATTCTGACCCTCTTTTGCTTTTTCCTCATTCACACAATACCTGCTACTGATAAGGGATAAAATAAAAACAGAGGCATCTAACCTATTTGTAAAATAACTGAGCTAACTCAAGCAGCTCCAGGTAATCTCTCCCCCAGACTCTGCCTTTGTTGCCTAGAAGCCAACCCCTATTATTGTTAAAAAAAAAAAATAAGTTTCTTTGCGGTCAGGCTAAAGAATGTGAACTTAATGGAAACTTTTGATCTCAGTCTCCTCTGGTTTCTGACATACTGGGCAAAGCGCTAAGGAGCCCTGGTGGTACAGTGGTTAAAGCAATCGACCGCTAACTGAAAGGCTGGCTCTTCAAAAGCACCAGCTGCTCCGAGGGAGAAAGACCTGGTAGTCTGCATCCATAGAGATTTACAGCCTCGGAAACCCTATGGGGTCACTATGAGTTGGAATCAACTCCACAGCAGTGCGTTTTGGTTCAGGCAAAGTGACAGATCATGGAAACTCTTTGTTCCCAATCTCCTCTGGAGATTGATGCTCTGAGCAAGGAACTTTTTTTTTTTTCCTGTGAAGTTTGATACTTGTTTGATGTCTGAATGGATAGGTATATAATTCTTTTTTTTTTAATTGTACTTTAGATGAAGGTTTACAGAACTAGCTTCTCATTAAACAGTACACATAGTTTTATAACATTGGTTACCACCACCACATGTCAACACTCTCCCTTCTCAACCTTGGGTTCCCTATTCCCAGCTTTCCTGTCCCCTCCTGCCTTCTGGTCCTTGTCCCTGGGCTGGTGTGCCCCCTCAGCCTCACCTTGTTTTATGGGCCTGTCCAGTCTTTGGCTGAAGGGTGAACCTCAGGAGTGACTTCCGTACTGAGCTAAAAGGGTGTCCGGAGGCCATACTCTAGGGGTTTCTCCAGTCTCTGTCAGGTCAGCAACTCTGGTCTTTTTTTGTGAGTTAGAATTTTGTTCTACATTCTTCTCCAGCTCTGTCTGGGACCCTCTATTGTGATCCCTGTCAGAGCAGTCGGTAGTGGTAGCCGGGCACCGTCAAGTTGTCCTGGACTCAGTCTGGCGGCAGCCGCGGTAGTTGCGGTCCATTAGTCCACTGGACTAATCTTTCCCTTGTGTCTTTAGTTTTCTTCATTCTCCCTCGAGCGAGGTACTTTTAACAGATCACTCCTGAAAATTTCCACCATGTCATTGCTTTGTACCCTACATGAAAACTCCCCTTGACCCCATGTCTTACAATTATTTCTTTTAGCCAGTCAATGTACTCATGTAACCAATAATGTTAAAGATTATGCTTTACTTATCCTGCCTTTGACTGCCCTTAACTACCGTAAACCAACAAGAAAAACTGTAATTTTATTCTCCCCCTTCAGCACTATAATTACTTGTGACTTGCATTTCCCCCGAGATCTGTGATCTTCAGCCTGAGGCTTCAAGGTCCCCCAGTGCAATGTTACTTTGGTTTCAATAAATCTCTTTTGATTGTACGTCAGTGGAGCTGGAGAGTCTTTTCTCTACAGCACTACTTTGAGCAGTGTTTTTAAAATTATGGCCATTTGTGTGCCACTGACATGATCTGCGCCTTAACTCTACTATTATTTTTTATTAGGTGAAATTCTTATAACATAGCCATTTTAAAGTGAACAATTCAGTGGCATTTAGTATACTCACAATGTTGTGAAACCACCACCTCTATCTACTTCCAAAATGTTTTGTTGCTGGTTTTGTTTTTGTTGTTGATTTGTGACTAAGGAGGCCCCATGTGTTACAGGGTAGACTTGTTCCATAGGGTTTTCTTTCTTTTTTTTTTTAATAGTATTTTATTGTGTTTTTGGTGAAGGTTTACACAGCAGTTGAGGCTCCCATTCAACAATTTCTACACAAATTGTTCAGTGACATTGGTTCCATTCTTTACAATGCATGAACATTTTCAATATTTCCGTTCTGGCTGTTCCGTTTCCATTAATCTAGTTTCCCTACCCCTTACATTCTTATCTTTGTTTTAAAGTAATTGTTGACTGTTTGGTCTCATACAGATGATTTTCATAGGGTTTTCTTGCCTGTAGTCCTTAAGAAGCAGATCGCCAGGCCTCTTTCTTCCGCAGTACAGCTGGATGGGTTTGAACCACCAACCTTTTGGTTACCAGGTGAACACAAACAACTTGTGTCACCCAGGAACCTCTAGATCCAAAACATTTGAATCACCCCAAAAGGAAACTCCAGGTCTATTAAGCAGTTACTTCCCATTCTCTCCACCCTCCACCACCACCAACTACCTATACTTATTTTTTTTAAACATTTTTCTTAATTGAACTTTAAGTCTGTGAAGTGGGGAGTCTGACAGGCTGGTCCATCCACGTCAAGCTCATTTAGTGAACAACGGTGGTACACGCCTTTGGGAAATGCTGATATGGACCCAGGTGTGGCTGGTTCTTGCCATGTGTTGTTATTCCAGATGGATACACCTGTGCACCCTGCCGCCTAGTGGAGGGGTGTGGACCTGCCAGCAGATAAGGAGGGTACGAGAGGACGTCTTGATGGAGGTGAGAGCAGAGTATGTTGGGAGCACACGAGGAGGGACACCTGAGTCCACCTGGAGCACTGGGGAGAACTTCTCCAAAGACTGAGACTGGGAAGAGTTTGCCAGGGAGGGAAACTTAGAAGTGAAACATCTTTTAGGGCTTTGAAAACATCAACGATTCCTGTATTATCAACCAGATGATGGAATTTGAACACTGGCAATTTGAGTCCACCCAGAGGCACCTCAGAAGAAAGGCCTGGCGATCCACTTCAGAAAAATCAGCCATTGAAAACCCTATGGAGCACAATTCTACTCTGACACACATGTAGTCGCCATGAGTTGGCGTTCGGTTTGGTTTTTTGGTTTATTAGTTTCCTAGGGCTGTTGTAACAAAGGGCCACAAACCGGGCAGCTTCAAACAACAGAAATTTACTCTCTCACAGCTCTGGAGGCCAGAGGTATGAAACTTAGATGTTGGTAGGGCTATGCGCCCTCTGAAGGCTCCAAGGGAAAATTAATTCTTCCTGGCTTCTTCCTAGCTTCTAGTGGCTCTGACAATCCTTGGTGTTCCTTGGCTTGTAGTTGCATCGCTCCAATTTCTGCCTCTGTTGTCACATGGCATTCTCCCTGTGTCTCTCTGTCCAAGTCTCCCACTCCTTTCTCTTATAAAGACGCCAGTCATTGGATTTAGGGCTTTCTCTAAAACCAGGGGAGCCCTGGTGGCACAGTGGTTAAGAGCTCGGCTGTTAACCAAAAGGTCAGCAGTTCAAATCCACCAGCCACTTCTTGGAAACTCTATGGGACAGTTCTACTCTGTCCTATAGGGTCGCTATGAGTCAGAATGGACTTGACGGCAATGGGTTTGGTTTTTGGTTCTAAATCCAGGATGATTTAATCTAGAGATCCTTGTTGCTACTGTTAGGTGCTGTCAAGTCAGTTCCGACTCATAGTACTATGACTCCGACTCATGTACTACAGAACGAAACACTGCCTGGTCCCGCGCCATACTCACAATCATTGTTATGCTTAAGCACATTGCTGTAGCCATTGTGTCAATCCATTTCTTAAGGGTCTTCCTCTTTTTCGCTGACCCTCTACCAAGCACGACATCCTTCTCCAGGGACTGATCCCCCCGTGACAACACGTCCAAAGTACGTTAGACGTAGTCTTGCCACCCTTGCTTCTAAGAAGCATTCTGGTTGTACTTCCTCCAAGACAGATTTGTTTGTTCTTTTGGCAGTCCATGGTATATTCAATATTCTTTGCCAACACCACAACTCAAAGGTGCCAATTCTTCTTCGGTCTTCCTTATTCATTGTCCAGCTTTTGCATGTATATGATGTGACTGAAAATACCATGGCTTGGGTCAGGCGCAGCTTAGTCTTCAAGGTGACACCTTTGCTTTTGAACACTTTAAAGAGGTCTTTTGCAGCAGATTTGCCCAATGCAAGGCATCTTTGAGATCCTTAACTAACCCTATTTCCAAATAAGGTTACATTCTGAAGTTCGAGGTGGACATGAATTTTGGGGGACACTATTCAACTTACTACAAACATTTTCCAAATAATGGAGATAAAAGGGACAAACCAAACACAGAGGGGCCTTTGTTGAATGTGCATGAACGGCCAAACACAAACTGTCTGGAGACATACAAAAAGGAATAATAATCTAGACTAGATTCAGAGAATGTTCCCTTGGCCTCCTTGTACTCCGACTCTACTGCTGGGATGCTAGGCTGGGCCCAGGTACTCTCCAAGCCCTTCCACGCTGCCACAGGGGCTCTGCACACAGGCACTGATGATCCAGGTATCCGCCAGGCCTCTCGGGGGGGGCAAGGTGGCTGGGAAAGGGCACTGTTTTCACAGGAACAGAAAAATTGTCAACTGAAAACAAAACGAAACAAAAACCCAGATATGCACTCCTGTGAAAGTTATTTTGGACCAAAGTGGAAACCTGAGGGAGAATTAAAAAAAAAAATTTTTTTTTTTTTTTTTTTTGAGGAACACAGGAATCTGTGACAGTAAATGGCTGCTCAGATGATTTTATTTCCAAATTCCCATCATGCATTACAAATTAAAACAAAGTACAACTTGGATTTTCTAGGAATTTATTATTACCTCCTGGTAATTGCTGTTGTTAGCTGCTGTCAAATTGCCCCTAATTCAGTGACCTCATGCACGACGGAATGAAGCGCTGCCCAGTCCTGCACCATCTCCATGCTTGGCTGTGGATCCGACTGTTGTGATCCACAGGGTTTTCATTGGCTGATTTTTGGAACTATATTGCCAGGCCTTTCTTTCTAGTCTGTCTTAGTCTGAAAGCTCTGCTGAAACCTGTTCAGCGTCATAGCAGCACGCAAGCTTCCAATGACAGATGGGTGCTGGCTGGGCATGAAGTGCATTGGCCGAGAATCAAACTGGGTGTACAAAGCAATGCAATCTGTGAATGAGGGCCTTGCTAGAAAGCCCTGAGTGATTTCTAGTGTTCTTTTGGGTGAACTCTAACAGATCACCTAGACGAAGCTGGGGTGGAGAAGGCATAACGCTTTATTTATTCTGAACGAAGTATTACACATCACAGCATGGAAAACAGTATAATATTAACTGCCTAAAATGATGTCAACACTGGGGCAGGGGAAAGGTTATTTATATATATGTATTTTTTTACATGCTAATACCATTAGGCGTTCAAAGAATTCCTGGCTGGTTAGATTTCAGCCTTTCCCAGTTCCCAGTTAGCAAATTCCCCCGGAAGTGCTAGTGAATGCTTTGGAAGGTCTGAGAGGCGTCTCTCTAGTTTCTTACAAGCACTTCAACAGCAGCCAGATGGGTGATGGCCCTCTCTCCCTGCATGTTCTCAGGCCTTGAGACAAGGCACAGGCCGGTCTCCCACACAACCTTTTATTCATCTGGATCAAAAGCACATCAATAGACAAGTCAAGGAAGCATTAAATGCCCTGGAATAGGAGCTTAAAACGCTCACCCACCTACACGGGGCACCCAGCCCGATTCTGCAAATGGAATTCAACTAACCTTTAGCTGAAATGCTCAAAACAAATCAAACTTTAACTTGCTTTGAAGACAAAGTGTAACTTGCTTAGATGCTGAAGTTATGTAACATCAAGAAGTTTTACTAATGGCAGGGCAATGACTTAATAGAGAAAAGCTGTCTAGGCCAGATTCTGAAAAGTTATAAACTTTTCACCTCAGATCTTGCTAACAACCTGATGTGGCTTATAGTAGCCGAATTCTCAGCAGGGAGAAGCTACATAACCATAGTGAACTTTCCTACTGAGAATGAGACATGCCGTAAAACACCAGGAAAGTTCCACTTGCACAGTTACCAACACACAAGGGTGACGCTTTCTAAATGTCCACATTGTCATATTCTAAACAAGTCTAATGATGGCAGATTTTGGCTTTTGAACATACCTGGAAGGAGAAGATAGCCAGATTTGCTTGTTTGGGGTCTGCTTGTTGATCACGTAGGTTCCGAGATCTCCACCCAGTTTAATTGTTAAAACACCATTCTAGTTAATTAAGTGGGAAAAGCAGTGAAGAAAATAAAAACAAGACAAAGTTGGCATTTAGTCATAATTGACTTACATTTTCTTGTACCTCAACATTTTCCATATATACAAGTACACAATGTATACCATAAATGTCTTTAATTTAGTGTTTAGATATAGGAGATCATGTAGAAAGAATACTGCTCTCAGAATCAGAGTATGATTAATCATAATAATACTTATATTTCATAGTTCTTTCCCTCATTCTCAACAAGGCTGGCAGGGGAGAATGATCATTTTTCCCGTCTGAGATGAGGGAACAGAAGCCTGGAGTCTAAGTGACTAGTGTAAGGTCTTGCAGTTGGCAAATGAGAGGATTCATATCCTAACTGTTGGCTTGGTGCCCTTAACTACCCACCAGAACATACTGGAGAACATTAAAAACGCATACACCAATTCTATTAAATTACCATATCAGCCCACTTGAGATCAAAACATTCGATATGACAAGTGCAATAGAAAAAAAAAAGGAAGGAAGGAAGGAGAGAGAGAGAGAGAAAAGGGGTGGGGAGGGAGAGAAAGAGAGGGGAAGGAAGGAGGGAGAGAGGAAGGAATTAAACCACCTGCTTTGCTTGTCTTCGAAGAACAATAGCTTGAGCTCTATTGGTAGAAGGCAGAAACTGCAGACTACAAGTTTTTTTATTTCCTGATCCTTCCCACGCATCTCACAAGCTTCTCAAACATTCCTCTCCAGCTTTACTTTCCACTACCAAAAAAACCAAAACCACACCCATCGCCATCAAGTTGATTCCAACTCATAGCGAGTCTATAGGACAGGGTAGAACTGCCCCACAGGGTTTCCAAGGAGCAGCTGGTGGATTCGAACTGCCAACCTTTTTGTTAGCAGCCAAACGCTTAACCACTGCACCACGAGGGCTCTCTTTTTACTACCAAAAAAAAACCGTTGCTGTGGAGTCGATTCCGACTCATAGCGACCCTAGAGAAGTCATGAATTCCTCCAAAGCGTAGGTTCATCTCATTTAAATTTGAAAACACGCTATCAACAAAGAAACTCTTCACTCCCAAGGCCTAGTACTCTCTTGAGAATGCGCAGAATATTAAAGAAACAGCAACACAGCTAAGCTGCCTTTATACAAACTGCTGAGGAGGCTGTCTCTGGCTGTTCCCCATCCTGTATGTAACTCTCAGCGGCCTTTCTCTGTGCCTTCTAGAGCCCCTGTCCAACCAAGGTGCTCTGGATGAGTTTTATAACACACTTTTGCAAACGTTGTTCGGCACTGTGGATTTGGACTCATAGAGACCCCATGTGACAGAGCAGAACTGCCCCATAGGGTTTTCTAAGCTGTAATCTTTATGAAGGAGCCCTGGTGGTGCAATGGTTAAGCGCTTGGCTGCTAACTGGAAGGTCAGTGGTTCAAACCCACAAGTGGCTCCATGGGAGAAAAGGCCTGGCCATCTGCTCCATAAAGATTACAGCCTAGGAAACCCTATAGGGTTTCTACTCCGTCATATCGGGTCACTATGAGTCGGAGGGAGCCCTGGTGGTGCCCTGGTTAAGAGCTCGGCTGCTAACCAAATGGTTGGCAGTTCGAATCCATAAGCCGCTCCTTGGAAACCCTATGGGGCAATTCTGCTCTGTCCTATAGGGTCGCTGTGAGTCAGAATCGACTTGATGGCCGCTGCTTATGAGTCAGAATTGACTCGACAGTACACAACAACAAGACATTTCACTTATTTTTAATTTTTAAAGAATTGTACAATTTGGTGATTTTTAATAGATTCACAAAGTGTGCCCCCATCACCAGTATCTAATCCCAGAATACTTTCATTGCTCTATTAAGAAAGCCATACCCATCAGCAGTCACTCCCCATTTCCTCCTCCTCCTTACACACAGTTTTACAGCTTATTTTTTCATGAGACCTGATACCAGGCTCAGGGTATCAACACACTCACTTCTCATTTGCCCTATTTATAGCCCTTAAATGTCCTCATTGTGTTGAGAAGCATATGATACAGCGAAAAGACCCATCTCATCACTGACCGGCTGTGGGACTCAGGCAAGTCACATTAACCTCGCCTGTTTCCCCATGACAGTATCTGTCCTGCTTTCTTCAGAGACTTAGTGCGAGAGTCGAGGGGCTAATGTGTGTTAGGAGTCCCTGGGTGGCACAAATGGTTAATGTGCTCAGCTGATAACTGAAAGTTTGGAGGTTTGAGTCCACCCGGAGGTGCCTCGGAAGAAAGGCCTGGCAATCTACGTCCCAAAAATCAGCCACTGAAAACCGTATGGAGCACAGCCCTACTCTGATACGCATGAGATCTCCTTGGTTCGGAGTTGACTTGATGGCAACTCGTGGTACTGGTAATGTGTGCTCAAGGGTTCCATACCTGCTACGGATGGCCGCCATGCCTTAGAACAGGAGACCAAATCAGGGGACTTTGATAGATATAATACCTGAAAGCCAAAATCGACTCTTTCTGACCTGAAGTCTTTTGAGCTGGTCACTCTTCTAAAGAGTACACATTAATAAAACAGTGAGAATTTTCTAGATCCATAGGTCTCCAGCTGTTTCCTCTACCTGGCCCCTTCTCCAGTCTATGCCCTCCCCACACACCAGCAACTCCTCAGTCTCCACCATGCTCCAGGTCCCAGCTGAGGTGATTCTGAGAAGATTACCCTGATACCCCTCAGCTAGGTCCTGCCTCTCTTCTGTCAGCCACCTTAGCACTTTCCTCACTGCCTTTTAGCTCCTTGCTTGATTGCTTGGTGCCTTCCCCCTTCCCGCCAGTACTTTCAGCGTCTTGAGAGCAGATTTGTCTTTTCATCCTACCATCTTCAGTGTCAGATCCCTGGGTGGTACAAACAGTTAACAGGCTCAGTCTGCTAACCAAAAGGTCAGAGGTTCACATCCACCCAAAGGCACCTCGAAAGAAAGGTCTGGCAATCCACTTCTGAAAAATCAGCACTGAAAACCCTGCAGAGCACAGTTCTACTCTGACACACGTGGGGTGACTATGAGTTGGAATCAACTCGACAGCAACTGGTTTACTGGTTATCTTCAGTGTCCAGCACATTCATGCTTGCAGCAAAATACTGGATACAAAAATACATTTGTGCGTGAATGAATGAGTGGTCAAATGAAGAACGAATGATACCCAGGCACTGTAATAACAATGCCCCAAGTTAAGGGCAAGGTTACTTTACACAAGGCAGAAAATCTCAACACTCAACTTCCCCGCCACCAGCTCACTGCTGTTCACTGTGAGTAATTAGATCTTTTCCCCATGGAGCCTGAAGCTGTTTCCAAAGGAAAGCGGCAAGAGGGAGGAAACTAGCTGCCCTCCTGGTTCACCCAGAGTTCTTACTGCTTTTGGAACTGTCTGCAATTAGACCAGATAAAGAGGGCTTTTTATTCATTATTATTGTTCCTTAAGGGGCGATCTGAGTCTATTTTGGGCATGTGGGCAGACTTCAGTGCAGGGCAGGGGGAAGAGAAAAAGTTTCGCAGCTGCTGAAACATGGGCACTAACTAATCAGAACAGACCCTGGCCACAGCTGGTGAGGCTTAGAGACGCCCACCACATACCTGGAACAAAAACAGCAATTATTGTTGTCACCAGCTCATTTTTAGAAATACAGATGAGATGGCATGTTAACAGATAACACTGCCAAGAAAAACCCTATTACCCCAAAAAAAGTCACACGAGTGCAGGGGTTAGGACTTCAGCATATCTTTCTGGCGGACACAATTTGATCTGTAACAGGCCTGAAACCAGACACTGGCATCACCTGTCTCCTGCCCCACTGGACTGGATGACACAACAGGCAAGAAGCTGCTCAAATCTCCCGCTCCACAGGGAGAAAAGAAAACAAACATGTTCCTGGGTATATCCGGATTATTGGTTTCATTTTTCTAGTTGGCCAATGGCAAGATGGTAAAATACCTATAAATGCAGAGTGGCATCAAGGAAAGCATGTTTTGGAAAAGTATGCGGGCCCTGTTTCAATTACATAGTGAATCAACACTTATTAAGCCCCTACTATGTACTCAGCAAGGAGCGCTGGTGGGGCAGTGGTTAAGTGTTCGGCTGCTAACCAAAAAGTCAAGGTTCGAACCCACCAGCCACTCCATGGGAGAAAGACGTGGCAATCTGCTTCCTAAAGATTTACAGCCTTGGAAACCCTATGGGGCAGTTCTACTCTGTCCTACAGCGTCACTATGAGTTGGAATCAACTCGACGGCAGTGGGTTTATGTACTCAGCAAGGACAGTGGTGGTCCAGTGGTAGAATTCTTGCCTCCCATGCACGAGGCTCAGGTTTGACTGTAGTCAGTGTACCTATGTGCAGCCACCTCCCATCTGTCAGCGGAGGCTTGCATGTTGCTATGATGCTGAACAGGTTTCAGTAGAGCTTCCAGACTAAGACGGGCTAAGAGGAAAGACCTGGCAATCCACTTCTGAAAATCGGCTAGTGAGAACGTTATGGATCGCAGTGATCTGATCCTGTTGTGCAAGGGGTTGCCATGAGTCACGAGCCAAATCAACAGCAGCTAACAACAGCCTGTACTCAAGGCCTTGGGGATACCAAGAATGGACAGTGTTCCTACCACAAAGGAGCTCAAGTCTATCTGGGGAAGCCAATGTGTAAATAAACAACTACAACACAGGGGATCAGTTCTCCCCAGTCGTCCTCAGAGCGCTGGGTGAGAAATGAAGGGTGGTCTCTGCTTGGAGCATCCAGGCGAGCTTCACAAAGGAGATGCTTCCAGCAGGGACCCCGAGGGCAGGGAAAGACTGCACTCTGACAAAGCTCAGGTAACATGCCTGTTCTAGTGTCCATAAAGTACTTTCAGCTGATTCATCCTACAAGTTGTACATAAATTAGCATCTGAAGGTCCCTAATCAGGAATTCACAAGACAGGGTGGATAGTTAGCATTTCAAAATACTTAATCAGAAGCCCAAACTATAGTGGCAGCTACAATGAGCCGTTAGTTTTCAAAATCTACACCAGAGGGTTTCCTAATTAGCAAACGATTTGTTAGAAATACTTTTTCCCTGGTGAGTAGAGTGGCATTCAAGGCACGTGGTTTGAAAGGCACAGGCATCTCAGCCCTTGCAGGAATGGGCTGATGCCTGTGGAAAGCCCAGAACTGTTGTTAGCCGCTGCTGAGTAGATTCCGACTCATGGTGACTTTACAAACAACAGGATAAAATGTTGCCCGGTCCTGCATCATCCTCACAATCACCAGCATGTTCAAGTCCATCATTGTGGTTATTGTGCCAATCCGTCTTATCACTGAGGGTCTCCCTCTCCCTCAGCGGCCTCTACTTCACCAAACATGATGTCCTCCTCCAGCACTGGATCCTTCCTGATGACATGCCCAAAGCAGGCAAGTCGACAATGTTCTGTTGTGATCCATAAGGTTTTCATTGGCTAATTTTTGGAAACAGATTGCCAGACGTTTCTTCCTAGTGTTCAGGCTCCACTGAAACCTGTCCACCATTTGAAATACCAGTGGCATAGCTTCTAGCATTACAGCAACATGTAGCCACCACAGTATGACAAACTCACAGACAGGTGGTGGAGCCCAGCATTAGGAAAACTTAATACTTTTCAGAGAGACACTGGGGTGGGATCCAGGTAAGGGCCTGTGGCCCATCCCTGAGCAGGTTTGTCACTTGATTCGACGAGGTAAACCGAACCCTGCTGTTAGAAAACTGGCACATTTGCTTCTAATGAAACATTCGTGAAAAGCACTTGGGTAAAGCTGGTCTTCACTAATCCTACAAGAACAGGCTGCATGACTGTTTTTGTGGCTTGCTAATAAATGTTTGCACATGTGGCAGACAGAAGGCAACCTAAAATGTGCCTTCCCTGTAACTTAACCCCTGGTAGGTAGGCTGTGGGGAGTGCTGGGCGGTACAAACATTAAGTGCTGGACTACTAACCGAAAGGTTGGCAGTTCCCCCCACAGGTGCCTTGGAGGAAAGGCCTGGCAATCTACTGTCAAGAGGTCATGGCCTTGAAAACCCTATGGAATGCAGTTCTACTCTGACACGCACAGGGTTGCTGTAAGTCAGAATCAACTCAACAGCAATGGTTTGGTTTTTATTTTTTAGGGGGGCTGCAGGGAGAGGAGACCCATAACTTCCCCATCTCTCCATCATCACAGAATGGTCAAGCTGGGAGGTCAGTTTGTAACAGTTCTCAAGAAGCTCTGCCTCCGGGGCATCTGCATAAGCATTTTTAAGGCTCCACCCCAAAATTTAATAATTTGTGTAGCTGATTGATGGATATATGGGGTTTGTTACAGAAAAAAAGTGGTATCAGCTTAGCAAACTGAGTTAACAGAAGAACCAAAACCCAAAATGCTTGAAAGTAGGTGCCTATGAGGAATGGGACTACGGGGCAGCCACTCTTTACTGATTAAATTTTTACCTGGTTTGTGTATTGCTTTGTTAAAAATAAAAGCAATTTTGCAGAAGGAGAATTAATAAGTCAAAATCAGATGTATGTTAAAATCATGTTTTTCTTCCCCTATGTGAAGTCACTAAGTTGTATCAGTCAGTTAATGATAAATGCAGTTAAAAAAGCTCTGCCCCAACATTGCTACATTTTCTGCAGTGGACAGTAATAATTTAATCCACCTGGAAGGTATTCAATCCTTTCCTGATCCTCTGCCCCTATTTTTACCACCGAGTCCCTCACTGTCCCTAAAAGCAGGCTTGGCACCTTCTCCAAGGCTTTGCTGCCTACTCCATCTGATGGAGACCCTTCTCTGTCTATCCAGGGCTCCCAAAACAATATCCAACACCGTTTACATCACTTTGGCCTGATAGCTGATTGTCATATGTAAACCCATGATTTAATCCAAAATACATACTTGATGCAATTTCCTGGTATTAATTAATTGCTTTCAAGAGGATTAACCTCTGCAGGGGATTTTCTCCCACTGGCAAAAAAGAGCTGCTCTAAGACCCAAGTCCAAAAGTGGGCACTTGCTTGCTCAAGTCTGCCACCTGGTGGTCAATCAATGGTGGTCAATCAATAAAGACCAGCATTCCCTTGGCTTCCAGAAGCTGGAGCTGGTTTCATCCAACGCAGAGGTTCTCACCCAAGATGCACCTTCGAGCTTTAAAATCCCAACGCCCAGGCCACATCCCAGACCAATTAAATAAAAATCTTTGCAGGTGTAACCCAGGAATGCATGTTAGAATCCCAGGTGAGCCTTTCAAAAATGTGCTTCCTGGGGGCCTCCCCCTCCAGGGTGGAGCCCATCTCTGCAATCTGAATAACTCCTGGGCCTTAACCTACTCTTGCTCAAGAATTAGCAGTCTAGTTCAGTATTCCCTAAACCTGCCTGATGAGAGGCATTTTTGTAAGACAAGCAGATGCTCAGGTTCACATGCATAGATATTGAGGAAGCTTGAGAATCTGTCTTTTTAAACCAGAAATGAGGCTCAAAGAGGCCGAGGGGGTGGCCCAAGGTCACAAGCCTGGTAGAACCAGCTGGAACTTGAACCCTGGTCTTTTGGTCCCACCCATAACCCCATGCTTCTTAACTCTGCTGGAGCGGAATTCTTTATTTTAGTGAGCTAAAATTCTTATGGAGGAAAAAGAAAGATTAAAATAAGCCAAGAGGTACCCCAAATGAGACATCATAATCCTCAAATGTATAAGGTTTGTCTGCAAGGTCTTCAAAAAACTCTGCTAGGGAGTCCAGTGTCTCCTCTGCCAGTCTTTCATAGGCGGTCTCGTTTAGAGAGCTGTGGGGGGGGCGGGGAGGACAAAAAAAAATATGATTACCAAACCACCTCATTTTATTAATATCAAACGTACACATTTATTTTTTATTTAAATTTTAAGAGAAGGAAACTAATACATTTTTGCTGTTGTTAGGTGCCGACAAGTCAATTTTGACTCATAGGACCCCATGTGATAGAGCAGAACTGCCCCATAGGGTTTTCTAGGCTGTGATCTTTACAGGAGCAGATTGCCAGGTCTTTTTATTGGGTTCGAACTGCCAACCTTTTGGTTAGCAGCCAAGCGCTTAACCACTGCACCACCAGGGCTCCTTATCTAACATGCACAGAGTAAAAATTTAAGTAGCATGAAAGGGTTTACAGAAAGAAGTAAGCTTGTCTTCCCAAACAGGCAGCACCCACCTCCAGAGGCAATTATGATTAATAGTTCATTACGTACTCTTCCAGACTTTTCTCTTTTAAAATTATACACAAATTAAACATCTTGCGTTTTTCATTTAATAGAAATTGTTGCATATGTGTACATATGCATTTTTTAATTGTTGTAAAAACAAAAATATATATATATATAACACAATATTTGCCAATTCAACATTTAAGCATATATGCATTTTCATACTATTTTATTTAACCAGTCCTCTTCAGCCGGACATGGAGGTTGTTTCCATTGCTTTTGTTATTAAAATTTATGTTGGGCAAACCACAAAGTGGGAGAAAATATTTGTATTACGTATATCTAACAAAGGATTCATAATCCAGATTTTATAAAGAGTGCCTACAAATCAATAAGAAAAAGAAAACTCAATAGAAAAATGGGCATCAAGAAATATCCAAACAGCCAATAAACATATGAAAAGGTGCTCAACTTTGTTGATCTTCAGGAAAATTCAAATTTAAAAATCACAATGAGATATCACCAGAATGGCTAAAATGAAAGAGACAGATAGTATTGAGAGTTGGCCAGGAAGTGAAGCAACTAGAGCTTTCAGACACTGCTGATGAGCAAGTAAACTGGATAATCACTTTGGAAAACCATTGGGTAATATCTACCAAAGTGGAATACATTCATACGCTATGACCCATCACTTCCACGCTTGGGTATATGCCCAAGGGTATATATATACACGAGTTCACCAAAAGATATGCACTAGAATATTCGTAGCAGAACTCTCCAATAGGCCCAAACTGGAAACTGCCCAAACGCCCATAGGTAATGCAACAGATAAATACACCAACTCCTCACTTATCGACTATCTCATTCTCTGACATTTAGCATTTACGACAATAGTAAAAAACCTACTATGTGACTATTTTGCACGTTAACGACACACACCTGGCGGTAATGAATGCCTAGGTGCGAGGCAAGAGTAACGCTGGCTGTGATGGTTAAGGTTATGTGTTAACTTGGCTGGGCCGTGATTCTCAGTGGTTTGGCAGTTGTGTAATGATGTAGTCCTCCTCCATTTTTGTATAACGCCGATTTTCACATACCGACCTGGTCTTTGGAACTTACCTATGTTAAGTGAGGAGTGGGTGTAAATTGTGGTATATTCATATAGTGGAATACTATGTAGCAAAGTAGAACTCTCTATAGCTACAAGAGCATTATGGGCAAATCTTACAAACATGATGGTGATTGAAGGAGCTACACACAAACATATTTATACTTAATGATACAGTTTATATAAAGTATAAAAACAGGCAAAACTAATCTATATTATTGGAGGTCAGGATGGTAGTTACTCTGAGGCAGGAGAGGTTAGTGTCTGGAAGTGAGCATGTCAGGGAGCTTATGGGGACCTGGTAACATTCTATTTCTTGAGCTGGGTGCTGGCTGCATAGGTATGTTCAGTTTTTGAAAATTTATCAAGCTGTATACCTATGACTTAGAGACATTTCTGTATGTATACTATTTATCAATTTTAAAAATTGCTACAAAACCATAGAGGCAGAAAGTAGACTAGTGGTTGACAAGGCCTGGGGGGAGGGGGAAATAAGGAATGATTGCTAATAGGTATGAAGTTTTTTTTTGCGGGGGGCAATGAAAATGTTTTGGAATTAGATAGTGGCAATGGTTGCACCCACCACCCATCTGTCAGTCTGTTGTATCGTTGGTGGTTTGCATGTTGCTATGCTATAGATATTTCAAATACCAGCAGGGCCATCCACGGTAGACAGGTTTCAGTAGAGCTTCCAGACTAAGGCAGACTAGGAAGAAAGGCTTGGCAATCTACTTCTGAAAATTAGCCAATGAAAAAAACCCTGTGGACCACAAAAATACTGTCCAATATAGTGTTGGAAGATGAGCACCCTAAGTCAGAAGGCACAAAAAATATACAGTGGCTGCAACAATGAACTCGAGCATACCAATGATCATGAAGATGGCATAGGACTGGGCAATGTTTCAGTCTGCTGTACACGGGGTCACCATGAATTGGAGCCAACATAAAGACAACTAACAACAACAAAGATCCTAGGGGATGTAGAGCCACAAGTCAAAGGGTCCTGGGTCCCTACAACATCTCAGCTTGGGGGAGACCTGCCCAGACTGTTACAGTGTGAGAAATAAATTTCTATTTTCCTTCAGCTATTACCTGTTGGGTCTATTTGTTGAAGTGCTCAGCCTAATTCAACTAATACAGAAATTACTGGAAGGCAGAGCACGAAAGCAAACACCTAAAATATGCTGCATGCAGCACTGGCTTACAGACCATGTGGCAGGGGTCAGTGAACAGACTGAGCAGGCTGGGAAGCTCGTGGGGTTCACGGGACTTGTTAGCAACAGCAAAGCACCTCAGAAATCTGTCTGCAGTGATAACCTGGAAGGCAAACGGTGTGCCTATTGAACCAGCAGCTCTGAGTGACTTAGTATTCCTGTATTTGGTCAACTCCTTGCTGCTTTAAGCAGGCACTACAAGAAAATGGTGAACCTGGAGGGAACTGGTGTGTATGCAAGTAGACGGAATGAAATGGAGCGTTTTGGGATTAAAGGCCCTACAAAGATGGAAAAGCCAAGGGGAATATATAAAGTTTTGAACAACAACAACAAAAAAACAGTTGCCCTCAAGTTGATTCTGACTCATAGCGGCCCCTATGTGTGTCAGAAAAAAACTGTGTTCCATGGGGTTTTCAATGGCTGATTTTTTGGAAGTAGATCACCAGGACTTTCTTCCAACGTACCTCTGGGTAGACTCAAATCTCCAACCTTTTGGTTCGCAGCTGAGCACTTAACCATTTGCACCACCCAGGGACTCCTTGAACAAAGGCCTCCCATTAAGCCATAAAATGGACCTGACCTTGTTGCAAAAATCAAGTTAAGGGTGTTGCTGGTCCCCAATCTTATCGTTTGATACTACGTCAAAGTACCTACCCTTGGGTTGAGAGAGCTTGGCATGGGGGCAAGGATGCAGAGAAACAAAGGCAGCCTGAGGCTCCCATCCAGGAAATTAATTCGGATGTGGTTACTGCCACCTGGGAGTGGCTGCGAGCAAGTAGGTCAGAAGCCAGCTAGGTTTTTGAGGGGATCATAGTACCAAAGAAAAATGAGCCTGGCCTAAAACAGCCTTTGGAACCCCAAACTGTTATCAGCAGGTGGCAGATAGCAAAAGCGGTTCACCCACAAGGGGGGTCACACTTCCCACTCCCTATCTCCTCTGTGGGTAGAACCAGGGTTTCATGAGGAACTGCCTCTTTTGCCAGGGGAGAGGTCTTCCCAGTGCTGCCAGCAGGATTCCATTGCTGCTATGGGCCAGAGACTGTCTCCTTCTGAGTGGGAGTTGTTAATGCAGGTATCCTGCCCCTCTCCATCACTGGGTGTGGGCGTATGCGCGTGTGTGTGTAGGTCACGAGAAGCCATTCCCAGACCTGACAGAGAGGATGCTGAGGTGGATGGAGTGACTGTATGGGCCTCTAGCTGACTCCCTTAGGGCTGGGGGTGAATGTGTGTGAGCTTCCCACTGGAATCCCCTGCCCCCTCCTCCAGGGCAAAGATCAGACTACATTTCCCAGCCTCCCTACAGTCAGCTGGGACCACTGGAATGTGAGTGAGGGGACAAGTGGCACAGTAAGGCACCGACAGGTGATGCTGATCTAGAAAGTGAAGAAGCCTGGTGCCCTGAGTCATTTCATGGAGGAACACTCACCCGGGATTGTTTGGAGAGGGGGAAATAAACCACTATTGGTTTAAGCCATTACATTTTGGGGTCTGTTTGTTATAGAACTTTGCCCTAACGCCTCAGATGAAGCACTGGTGGTTCAGTGGTGGAATTCTCACCTTCTACAGGGGAGACCCGGGTTCCATTTCCAGCCAATGCCTCTCAGGTGCAGCCACCACCTGTCTGTCAGTACAGGCTTGCATGTTGCTATGATGCTGAACAGGTTTCAGCAGAGTTTCCAGACTAAGACAGACTAGGAAGAAAAGCCAGTGATCTACTTCCAAACATTGGCCAATGAAAACCCTAGGGATCACAAAAATCTGATATACAGCTGATCCTGGGGATGGAGCAGAACCAGGCAGTGTTTCGTTCCATCGTACATAGGGTCAGCATGCGTCGGGGGCCACCTCACCGGCAGCTGACAACAACAATGGCTAACTACTACGAGGATATCTGAGAATAACAAAGCTCTGGAAACAAGGTAAACGTCCAGCTCTCTGGGATGGGTTAAATAAATGATGGTAGATAAATGTAATTTAGTAGTATTTCATTAAAAATAATGAGCTATGTAGTTAGCGATAAGGAAAAACGCTTATGAGTACTGCTGCTAAGTAAGAAAATAGGTTCTGGGAGGGAGGGTCTTTTTTATTTGTTTCTTTTAAAAAAAAGCAAGAAAAGAGGAAAAAAAAATTAAAACTGTATATATAGAGAGAGAAGTGTGTGTACATGTGCATATGTGTGTATGGAGAAAGAAAGAGAAGAGGGAAGGAGGGAGAGATTGCTGACATGGAAAGTGTTTTTATCTTACCTTGGATCACTCAAAGTTCCTGTTTTCCTCAAATTCATCAAATGGACACTCTGCTTTTTGACATTCAGAATCTGGTTGAGGCAGTAGAGGTTCAAACTCTAAAAGCAAAAAGTTAAAAAGAACATTGCTACTTTTCAGGATATTATAATCTGTTGTTGTTGTTGTTAGGTGCCATCGAGTTGGTTCCAACTCATAGTGGGACCCTACATACAACAGAACGAAACACTGCCCGGTCCAGGACCATCCTCACAATCGTTGCTATGTTTGAGCCCACTGTTACAGCATTATTTAGTGCATAGTTAAATATAAGAGTAGTCACGTTAAACTTCTTCAGGAATATTTCTTAGGAATAATTGTTTCCTTCTTTTAATGCATTATGTTGAGTTCTCCTGTCTCTCTCTAAGCCTGTGCTGTCCAATGTGGTAGCCATGAGCCACATGTAGTAAAATAAAACGAAAAATTCGGGTCCTCAGTGGCACTAGCCACGTTTCTAGTGCTCCGTGGCCACATGTGGCTAGTGGCACAGACAGAACACTTCCATCTTCACAGAAAGTTCTATTGGGCAGAGCTGCTCTGCACTGTTTGGGTTATGTGGAGGTTAGCCAAGGGCAAAATTCAGCTCCAGGTCAGGGGCATTACAACTGCTGCCCCTGAAGCCACCAGTGACCACCCTTCCTTCTGATTCCTGGTCACCAAGGAGCCCTCGGACTATATGTCATGGGAGATTTGCCAAGCTTGAGTCTATGGGGTTCAATCACTCTGTGTGCTCAGCACAGGGCCAGGCTCATGGGATGCATCTGAGTCAGGAAAGCATCAGCAATGCTCCTAGAATTTGACTTTAAAAAGCAACAAAAAATAGCAAGAGGCAGAAGTCCGCGGAAGTCCAAAAACGAGGATTTGACTGCTATCTGATGGATCTTATTAACATGTTCTGCAGGAGGCAATGTGACCTGTTGGTTTTTTCAGTTTGTCACTGCTGAGAGCCCAGGGCCTGGCCCTGAGGAGATGGGTCTGAGCTGAGAACCACCAGCTCTGTTGTGTGGACCCTACTGACCAGCTGGAGAGAGAGATGAAATAACTGGATGAGCGTGAGATGGTAGCAGAAGTGGGAGCCCCATCAGAAGGACCTGGCCCAGTGCAGAGAGGACAGAGTCCATCGACAGAGAGAAGTAGTAGAGCTAGGGTGGGGAAAGCAGGGGTGGTGATGGCTGGAGATGATAGAGGGGGCTAGAGGCATGTGGAAATGGCCACAGGGCCTTGTGAAAGAATGCAGTGAGTGGACTTCATCCTGGGAAGACGCCAAAGGGTTTTAAGAGGTTGGTGATAAGATTTACATTTTCTAAAGATCACTCTGGTTGTCATGAAGAGAAGGGGTCAGGGGCCATTAGTTACTGCTCTTGAGCCATCAGGACTCTTGGCAAGCTCAGAAAGGGGAAGGCAGAGGGCCCTATGATAAGGAGTGAGCAGACAAGGAGGAAAAAGAGGGTGGGGAGTGGCAGACAGCACATTAAAAAAGGTTGGCTCTTTCTGTAGAAGAATCCTGATCAAAAGGGAGGAAATGCAGAGCAGAATTTCAAATTCTCATGGGATCCAGACTTTCTGGAGCCACTGAAGCTGGATGAACACCCAAAGCTATTGCTTGAGATAATCTTTAAACCGTAAACCAAAAATATCCCCTAAAGGTCTTAAAAGCCTGTGAGCAGCCATCTAAGATACTCCACTGGTCTCACTCCTTTGGGAGCAAGGGAGAATGAAGAAAATAAGATACAAGGAAAAGATTAGCCCAAAGGACTAATGGACCACAACTACCACAGTCTACACCAGACTGAGTCCAGTATAACTAGATGGTGCCCGGCTACCACCACTGACTGCTCGGACTGGGAATCCCAACAGAGGGTCCTGACAGAGCTGGAGAAAAATATGTAGAACAAAATTCTAACTCACACAAAAAGACTAGACTTACTGGCCTGACAGAGATTGGAGAAATCCCGAGAGTATGGCCCCTGGACACCCTTTTAGCTCAGTAATGAAGTCACTCCCGAGGTTCACCCTTCAGCCAAAGATTAGACAGCCCCATAAAACAAGATGAGATTAATGGGGCACAACAGTCCAGGGACAAGGACTAGGAGGCAGGAAGGGACAGGAAAGCTGGTAATAGGGAACCCAAGGTTGAGAAGGGATAGTGTTGACGTGTCGTGGGGTTGTTAACCATTGTCATAAAACAATATGCGTAGTAACTGTTTAATGAGAAACTATTTGTTCTGTAAACCTTCATCTAAAGTACAATAAAAAATACATATATATATATCCCCTAAAGTATTCTTAAAACCAAACAACAGTTTAGCTTAATTAGTAAAGAATATCTGTCCTGAGCATGATGCTCTTTTAAAGAACTATACGGGATCAAATAGACAACAGCAACTTGAAAGGTTAGACGGAAACTTAGGGGGCAGTGAGTTTATGTTAATAGGGTAGCATGGATTGAATTGTGTCCCCCAGAAATATCTTTCACCTTGGCTAGGTCATGATTTCCAGTATTGTGTGACTGACAGCCATTCTGTCATCTGATGTGATTTTCCTATGTGATGTAAATCCTATCTCTATGATGTTAATGAGATGGGATTAGCGGCAGTTATGTAGACTCAATCTACAAGATTAATCTACAATTTAAGCCAATCTCTTTTGAGATATAAAAGAGATAAGCAAGCAGAGAGATGGGGGACCTCAGACCACCAAGAAACAAGAGCCAGGAGAACAGCATGTCCTTTGGACCAGGGGTCCCTGTGCTAAGAAGCTCCTAGTCCAGGGGAAAATTGATGACAAGGACCTTCCCCCAGAGCCGACAGACAGAGAAAGCCTTCCTCTGGAGCTGATGCCCTAAATTTGGACTTCTAGCCTACTAGACTGTGAGAGAATAACCTGTTGAAGCGTCCACTTGGGGTATTTCTGTTATAGCAGCAGTAGATAACCAAGACATGGGGAAAGAACAATTAGGAAAAGGAGGGTGAGAATGGTTGTACAACTTGAAGAATGTAATCAGTGTCATTGAATTGTGCATGTAGAAATTGTGGAATTGGTGTATGTTTTGCTGTGTATATTTTCAACAACAATTAAAAAAAAAAGGCTGGTTCTGAAGGAGACTTGAGAGAGTAGCCATAATAACCATAATCCTAGCTACGGCACATTATAGAGTATTCACTATGCTTAGCACTGCTCTCAGTCTTCATACAAATGGACTCATTAAGTCCTAACAATACTGTGAGGGAAGTACTATTATTATCTGTATCTTACGGATGAGGAAACTGAGGCACAGAGAGGCTAAGTAACTTGCCCAAAGTCACACAGATACTAAGCGGCAGAACTGTGGATTTGAACCCAAGCTGTCTGGCTCCAGAGTCCCTGCCACAAGGAAAAGGATCATACACCTGGGAATCAGAACAGGGTCCAAAACATTGAGGGGAAAAGTGTTTGAGGATGTTGGGCTCACCTCGGGGAGTTTTCCTTTTGAAGTCCTAGCTGTCTTAGTCTCTCTGATGCCTTCACACAACTGTTTTTCTGTGTTTTGTTTTTGTTTTTAAATTTCATATAATTCTGATAGTTGTTCTTGGTGGAAGGTTTGATCCGATGCAAGCTACTCGTTCATAGCCAGAAGTAGAAGACTTTATTCAATTGGTTTTGATCAGAAAAAGGTTGGCTCTGAAGAAGTGAAAGCCGTTGCCAAATACTCCTTGTTTCTTGTCTGTTCCTGCCATCCTTACACTCCCTGGGCAAACTGCTTAAACTTTCGTAGCCTTGGTTTCCTCCTCTGAAGCAGGGATCATAATCCTCTCCTTGTAGACTGGTTATGAGGAATAAACAAGAAAACATGAACACCCCCAGTAGAGGGCTTGAGGGTGTTCAGCAAATTTCTGCTTTGAAACATGTCAGCAAAAGCCTGGAGACACAGGTGGTCAGAGGCACAATTCAACCCCAGCCCAGGAGAGAGGCTGCTCTGCTTCCCTAGAGGGAGGCGGATGGAGCTCACTGTGGGGAGGGTCACATTACCACTGCTGCCCCTGAAGCCACCAGCGGCCACCCCTACTTCTGATTCCTGGTCACCGAGGAGCCATTGGACTCTGAGGTGGGTTTGTCTAGTTCAAGTCTCCAGGGCTCAATCATTCTGCACGCTCAGCACAGGGGCAGGCTCATTTAAGGAAATGCATAAAGCATGTATTTAAGGAAACATCAGATAGTTTCTAGGCCTAAAGTCTTAGGCTCAGACCCTGGGACCAGATGACCCAAATAGTGCCCATCCCCTGGTGAGGCCTGGCCTGGGTGGCCAGCAGGGAGGCTAGCCTTCATCCTGATGTCCCCTCGTCACCCTGAGCCTTGTTAACAGTGGAAGAGTGAATCGGTTCTCACCCACTGCTGGGGGAGGGCAAACTGGTACAATCACTCTTGGCATCAGATGAGTTGAATATTTGCCAACCCTTTGACCAGCAAATCCATCCTGAAGAATTTGCCCAAGAGGAACTTCCGTTCATATACAAGCAGACTCACAGCAGCACTGTTGAGCAGAACACTGAAGTCAACATGAACGTCAGCAGAAGGGGACTGTATAAAATGAGATACTTTAAATGACTTTAAAATGAACTAGGGCATAATCAGCTTGTCAGGCCTAAGGTCAAAAGGTCACAGGGATGGTGATGTCCTTCTAGGAAAAACAAATGGTGTCTAAAAACCTTCCAAATTCCAGAGCTCTACACACAGTTTGGTTTGAACCTTACCTGTCTCCTCCTTCACCCACAATACACCCTGGAAGTGACCCCCTTCTACTCTCCTCGCCTTTGCTGTCCCCTCCCCTTGGAATGCCTGCTGCTGCACTCCAAGTTAAACATCTGCTGTAAAGTCTTCCTCAGCCCCACAGCCATTCTTTGGGATTCCCCCCTCAAGTCGTGAAGAAACTGAGTCAGATATTTCTTTGCATCCTCAAGGGGAAAACAGACCTATAAGTGCTGAAGACTTCATATATGTTAACTCAATTTAATCTTCACACCAGCTTCAGAAAATGGGTGTTACCCTTTATCACCTCTCTACAGAAAAGGAAACTGAAGCTTCGAGAGGTTCAGGGGATCCCCTGAGGTCACACAGTTCTGCTGAGTAGTAGATGAAGAAATACCGTAAAAGCATTTCATTCATTAAAGCCAAGGCTTGAAAACGTTGCACTAATATACCAAAAAACCAAACCAGTTGCCATTGAATTGATTCGGACTCATGGTGACCCCACGTGTGTCAGAGTAGAACTGCTCTACCAGGTTTTCAATGACTATCACCTTTTGGAAGTAGATGGCCAGGCCTTTCTTCCGAGGTACCTCTGGGTAGATTCGGACCACCAATATTTTGGTTAGCAGCTGAGTATTTAACTGTTAGTGCCAGCCAGGAACTCTAAGTATACAGTTGTTGTTGTTAGCTGCTGTCGAATCAGCCCAACTCACGGCAATCCCGTGTGTTGCAGAGTAGAACTGTTCTCCTTAGGGTTTTCTTGGCTGTAATCTTTACAGAGCAGTTCACCAGGCCTTTCTTCCATGGGGCTGCCTGGGTAGGTTCAAACCGCCAACCTTTAGGTTAGCAGCCTATCCCAAATGCTTGTACCAGCAGGCTCCATACATACTGCATGTTGTTGCATGCCCTCGAGTAGATTTCAACTCATAACAACCCCACGTGACAGAGTAGAACTGCCCCATAGGGTTTCCTAGGCTGTAATCTTTACCAAAGCAGATGGCCAGGTCTTTCTCCCGTGGAGCCGCTGGGTGGCTTTCAGTCGGCAGCCAAGTGGTTAGCTGTTGTACCACCAGGGCTCTTTATACACTATAGATTATTAAATTTCAGTTCTAGCATCAGGATTGGAATGACAAGCTTAGAGACAGCCATGATGGGTACAATATCTATCTTTTCATTAGAAAGCAGAAGCCAATTCACCCTTCAGCCAAAGATTAGACAGGCCCATAAAACAAAACAAGATTAAATGAGCATTCCAGCCCAGGGGCAAGGATGACAAGGGAGGAAGGGTCAGGAAAGCTGGTAACAGGGAACTCAAGGTTTAGAGGGGAGAGTGTTGACATGTCTTGGGGGTGGCAACCAATGTCACAAAATAATATGTGTATTAATTGTTTAAGGAGAGACTAATTTGCTCTGTAAACCTTCATCAAAGCACAATAAAGAAAGGGGTGGGGGGAGGGGAGAATACAGAACAGAATTTCAAATTCTCATGGAATACAGACCTTCTGGAGCCATGGCAGCTGGATGAACCCCTGAAACTACTACCCTGAGGTAATCTTTAAACTTCAAACCAAAAATATCCCCTGAAGTCTTCTTAAAACCAAACAATAGGAGGACCTCATATCATCAAGAAAGCAGTGCTGGGAGCAAAGTGCGCGTCCTTTGCACTGGGGTCCCTGTGCCGAGAAGCTCCTAGTCCAGGGGAACACTGATGAGAAGGTTGAGAGAGAGACAAAAAGGCTTCCCCTGGAGCTGACGCCTTAAATTTGGACTTTTAGCCTACTTTGACAGTGAGGAAATAAACTTCTCTTCGTTAAAACCATCCACTTGTGATATTTCTGTTGTAGCAGCACTAGATAACTAAGACAGAATTTGGTACCGAGAGAGTGGGGTGCTGCTCTAACAGATACCTAAAATGTGGAAGCGGTTTTAAAACTGTGAATGGATAGACGTACGGCAGTGACAGAGGACCAGCAGCAGCAGAGAACCTACAGCAGCAGAGAAGCGGTAGTGGCAGAGAACCAACAGCAGCAGAACCAGGAGACCGGTGAAAGATGGTGCTGGAGCCAACCCTCGGAGCGAGAGAGCTGAGTGCCTGTGAGCAGGAGGCTTCCTGGCGGAGTGGGGTGCCTCTGGGCACTTATCGGTGGAGCTAGGCTTGCCGACCCACGGAGCAAGAGAGCTGAGCGTCTGTGTGCAGGAGTCTTTCTGGCGGAGTGGGGTGCCTCCAGGCACTTATACCGGTGGAGCTACAGAGCTTTGGAACACTTGCCCCAGCAGGGCAGATGCGGGCATGAGGCCCGAGGGCCAAGAGACCACAGGAAACAGAAGCAGAAGCTGAAGAGACACGGGACACAAGAAGCCGAGCTGCCTGAGTCTCAAAAGGTATGGCCATGACCTCAGGGGTTTCAAAGGCTGGAGCAATGGCCTCTGGTGCTTCTAAGGGTGGAGTCGCCACTCAGATGGACTAGGAGAATGGTGCCCCTAAAGCCAAGGGAGCAGAGTTGCTGTCCCAGGGGGCCTGTAAGGCAGAGCTGAAGCCCAGGGCCGAGGGGCCTCCACTCAGAATCCAATACCTAGAGTCTGGAGGGCAGGGCCATTGTGTAAATTGTCTCAGAGAACAGAGGATTATTTTCAATGCGTTGAGGGCTAATGTAATGCGTTCTGCTGACTTGCTTGGTGCCTGTTATCACTTCTTTTCCTCTAGTTTCTCCCATTTGTAAGGGAAATGTCTAACTTGTGCCTGTTCCGCCATTGTACCTTTAGAAGTAAGTAACTTATATTCTAGATTTCACAGATGCAGAGGAATTTTTGTATTTTGGACTTGGAGTTAAGACTTTTGCTATGATATGATGGGGTGAATGTTTTCCATGTTGCAAGGATGTGATTTTTGGCGGGCCAAAGGGTGGAATGTCATGGTTTGAATCATGTCCCCCCAAAAAATGCGTGTATCAGTTTTGCTGAGCCATGATTCCTGGTACTGTGTGATTTTCCCATATGTTGTAAATCCTGCCTCTATGATGTTAATGAGGGAAGATGGGTGGCAGTTGTGTTAGTGAGGCAGGACTGGATCTACAAGACTGGACTGTGTCCTGAGACAATCTCTTGAGATATAAAAGAGAGAAGTGAGCAGTGAGACGGGGGACCTCATACCATCAAGAAAGCGGTGCCAGGAGCAGAGCGCGTCCTTTGGACTGGGGTCCCTGCGTGAGAAGCTCCTAGTCCGGGGAACATTGATGAGAAGGCTGACAGAGAGAGAAAAAGCCTTCTCCTGGAGCTGACACCCTGAATTTGGACTTTTAGCCTACTTTGACTGTGAGGAAATAAACTTCTCTTCGTTAAAACAAAAAAAAACAAAAACAAAAAAAAACCAAACAATAGTTTAGCTTAACTAATAAAACAATGTCTACCTTGAGCATTATGCCCTTTTAAGAACTATCTAGTTGGGATCCAGTTGACAACAGCAACTCAAAAGATTAGATAGGAAGCTTAGGGGACAGAGTTTATGTTAATGGGGAGGAAAAACTCAGAAAACAAGGGTGGGAATGGTTGCACAACTGGAAGAATGTAATCAATGTCACTGAATTATACACGTACAAACTGTTGAGTATATTTTGCTGTGTATATTCTCAACAACAAAATAAATAAATTTTAAAAAACAAAACAAACAAAAAAAGCTGAAAGTCAGCGAAAATGTAACCCAGAGAAAGAGTAAAGGGTAGGTTGCAACGTCGCGCGGCCAGCCCAGGCCCCCGTCCCCAGCAGGGCAGCACGTTCCGTGACCGCACAGCGCCCCCACCCCCACCCCCCGCCCCCCCCCCGCCCCCCACGCAGCGCGCGTCCCCGACCCGCCCGCCACCGCCAGGATCCGCCTCCAGCACTCAGCGCGTCCCGGGCCCGAGCCCTTGGCCCGAGCGGGACGAGCGTGCCCGAAGCGCGTCCCCAAACCGTGTCTGGCGTGCGCGGCGCCTTCCCCCGCCGGCGTGCGGCCCGCGGCGGTCGGGGCGGTGCTAATACTCACAGCTTGGCACGGCGCGCAGCCCGCGGTGGTCCCGATGCGCAGGCCCCGGCGATCGCAAAGCCAGGCGTCTTCCGTCGGCCGGGGGACCCCGGCGCGGGCCTGGGTCAGGCCCTGGGGCGCCGCCCGGGGCAGGAAGCCGGCGGCCGCGCGGCGCCCGAGCGTCCACATGCCGCTCCTGATCTGCTGCCTGCTCCGCCCTCCCGCGCGACGACACCTGGTGGCCGCGGGCCGCAGGCGCACCAGCTCTGCTCCCGCGCTCCGGTCCCCTCTTCTGTAGCCTTTGTGGAAACGGCTGGAGGTTAGAGCTCAGGAAGAACTTACAGCGTTGCATCCGTGCGTTTAACAAAAATGGAGAGCCTGCTTTGTGCAAAGCACGGAACTTACCCGTTGGCAACGTGGTGACTGCGAAACCAAGGTCCCTGCCCTTAGGGAGACTTCAGTGACTCCCCTCCACTGCAGAAATTCTGTACAGGAGGGATTTGGGATCAGCAATCTGTCTGACTGTGTGGGGTACCGGCCTCGGCCGGTATAGTTTACAGCGATTAAGAGTGTGCAGCCAGGAGCCAGACCCTTAAATCTGGACTCTGCCCAATTCCTAGCTGTGTGACCAGTGGGCAAGTTAATTAACCTCTCTGTCCTTCATCTATAAAATGGGGTTAATAAAACGTACTACTTAGTAGGGTTGTTGTAAGAATAAAATTAGTTAATCCCATGTAAAGTTTTTAGGATGAGGCCTAGCCCTTGTTAAGTGCTCAATAAATGTTAGTTATTATTAATACAAGGTCTCCAGGTGGGGCAAACGGTTTGCTCTCACCTACTAACCAAAAGGCTGATGGTTGGACTCTACCTAGCACTGCCATGGAAGAAAGGCTTGGCTATCTGCTTCTGTAAGATTACAGCCAAGAAAACCCAATGGATCAGTTCTACTCTGAGGTACATGGGGTCACCATGAGTTGAAATTCACTCAGTCGCAATGGGTTTGGTTTTTTTGGTTTTATTATTAACACAATTTTAAAGAAAAATTTACTTAGGTTGTATATTATAAAGGAATGCAAATTGTGAACGTTTTCTTTACATTTTGTATAAAAACCAAACCGGCTGCCATTGAGCCAATTCCAGCTCTTAGCAACCCTATAGGACAAAGTAGAACCGCCCCATAGAGTTTCCAAGGTTGTAAATCTTGACAGAAGCAGACTGCCACATCTTTCTCCCGCAGAGAGGCTGGTGGGTGTGAATCGCTGACTTTTTTGTCAGCAGCCAAGTGCTTTAATCAATGTGCCACCAGGGCCCCTATCCATTTTATATGTGCGTTAGAAAATGTCAGCTGTTCGTACCAGAACCCATTGCTGTTGATTCGATTCCAACTCATAGCGACCCTATAGGACACAGTAGAATTGCCCCGTAGGGTTTCCAAGGAGCAACTGGTGGACTCAAACTACCCACCTTTTGGTTAGCAGCTGAGCTCTTAATTTTTACCGGGAGGTAGTGGGCAGAGAAGATGAGAAGTTGCTAAAGTTCCTCCAAAACCAAACTTGCTACTTTGTGAATAGCAGAGATAAGACATGTGCTTAAACATGACAAGTGTCATTTGCTAAATAACAAGTGTCAAAAGAGGGACTCAAACTATGAATGTCAGCATTGCATGGGAAGGAGCCCCAGTGGTGCAATCATTAAGCGCTTGGCTGCTAACTGAAAGGTTGGTGGTTCTCTGAACTCCCCAGCAGCTCCTCAGGAAAAAAGACCTGACGATCTGCTCCCGTAAAGATTTACAACCTAGGAAACCCTATGGGGCAGTTCTACTCTGTCCTATAGGGTTGCTATGAGTCATAGTGTAAAGGAGGTGGGTTTTGACTGGCCATCAGAGAAATGGTCCGGGACATTCTTCCGGGTGAGAGGCATTCTTCTGCGTTTAATAATTTCCAAGCAGCCATTTATCGAGCACCTGCTATGTACACGCCAGGTGTGGAGAAGCCCTCACACTGAACCCAGCAGTTCTCGGTCAGGAACGATTTTGCTTTCCAGGGGACATTTGAAAATGTCTGGAGATGTTTTTGATTGTCACACTGGAGGGGTGGCACTGGCAACTAGTGAGTAGAGGACAGAGATGCTGCTAAATATTCCACAACGTACAGGGCAGCCCTACAACAAAGAACTGTCCTATCCAAAATATCAGTGGTGCTGAGGTTGAGAAGCCCTCACTAGAGCCACCCAGGAAGAACCCATTGGAGGCAAAGGGGAGTGTTTTTGTTGTCAGCCATGGTCCCAAATACTGCCACAGTGACTAATGAGGTGAGGGCCCCCTCTTCCTCTTACCTTCAGAGCTTTGTTAGACACTTCGTTAGACACACTTAGAAAGTTCCTGCAAATTTGATATCACTGCCTCATCTTTTCAGCTGAGGAAACAGGCTCAGAGCAGCAGACCAGAGACTATTAAGGCCTCACAAGAGCCAGGCCATCTCCAGTGGTCAAGGGATCAGGCACACTTGGTCAGAAGCTGGGGTGTTGGGGCTTGTGCAGACACAGATGTTGAAGGCCCCTGTGGTACTAAACCAGTGCTAATGGTAGGTATTAGGTAGGGGCCTGCAGCCAAACCTCAATGCTTGTCAGGCTGGAGTGGGTTGGATTTCCCCAGACTCACATTCCTTGCCTGTAGGGTACTTTGCTAGGACTTGGTCTAAGGCAGCGATTCTTAAAGTATGGTCCCTGGACCAGCAGTACTAGCACCACCTGGGAACTTGTTAGGGAGGCATAGTCTTGAGATCTACTAAATCAGAAACGCTGGGGTGGGGCCCAGCAATCTGTATTTTCACAAGCCCTCCTGGAGATTCTGATGCTTACTAAGGTTTGAGAACCACTGGTCCAGGGTAAGTCTTGGCCAAATTGTGAATTAAGCCAGTGTCACCGGGGTGATATTTCTAAGTCTAAAAATTGAAATCTAAAATGTGTATCTAACCATAGCACTGTCTTTCAGTTCCCTTATGCCACCATCAAGATAAATTCCAGTGTCCTTAGTATGACAAACTAAGCTTTCTTGCCCAGTCTAGCTCTCCAGCCACCCTCTTTCCTCTCCCTGCCATGCACCCTACTCTCCAGCTAATCAAGCTGTATCAGTTAGGATTAGATGCTGAATATAACAGAGAGCCTGAAAATAATATTTTAAAGAAATTCAAATTTTATTTCTCTTTCACATAAAAAGATGTTAAGAAATTGGCAATCCAGGGTTCTTGGGGCAGCTCAACAAAGTTACCAGAGACCCAGGCTCCTTACAGCTTACTGCTCTAATAATCGGAGTATGACCCTAGTCCTCATGGTCCAAAATAGTTGCTAGAACTCCAGCTATCACATCTGTATTCTAGGCAGCAGGGTAGAAGGAAGGATGCCCTATCTCTTTAAAAGACACTTTCTGGAATTTCCACCGAATACTTTCACTTACATCTCATTGGCCAGAATTTAATTATACAACCTTACCTAGTTAAAATGGAAGCCAGAAAAAATAGTCGTTTTGCTGAGCAGTCAGTGTGTCCAACTAAAATTTGGAATTCTGTTATTAAAGAGGGAAGAATGGATACTGGAGACATCCATTTGCCTCTCCAAACTAAAGTAGTTCCCACAACCAGCAATACTTTCTTTCCCCTCTGGATTATCCCTCACGTTGTCCTTTCTTCTCTTTGCCTGGTGTGGCAAATCCTGGTGATCCTTTTGTTTGTTGTTCACATTTAAGAGTTAGGCAGTAGATAAGCTAATTGGGAACTCTGAATAATTGGGTAGCACTTGTCAACTGAGAGGCTTTGCTTAGGGTGAGCAGGCAGGAGGCTGGACATTTCATGGGGGGGACTCCTGGTGACAGTGCGGATATTGTTGTGTGGTGAAATGAGTTCCTTTATGTGGCCTTTTGCCTTGGTTCTTTGGAAAAACAGCTCGAGAGATTTTCTCCCCCAAACCCCGAGGAGTTACCTTTGCCCTAGTTTTCTGCCCCAGAACATTTATTACTTTTGTCCAGTTGATTGACATTTCCTGGGTAAGCTGTAAACTACTTGGTTTGATACTTTTTGTCTGGCCCTGGGCTGCAGCGTGCCCTGTGATTGGTATATACTTTGCAGACATTGGTCAATGGACTATGCAAATGACGTGACTATAGCCTACTAAGCAAATGAAGTCTGTCCCACCTTGAGGGGATTGGTCAGTTTGTGCCACCCCCAGAAATTGACAAAAATTATATGTAGGCAGCCAACCCCGCAGAGGTTTTTCAGACAGAAAGAAGCAGAAGGAGAAGCATCAGGAAGAAACAGAAGGAAAAAAGAAAACAGAAGAAGCAGAGAGAAGAGGCAAGGAACCTCCTGAAAGAGCTGTAACACAGCTCAAGGGCTGTAACACTGAAGACAGCAAGAGGCGTGGAAGGGGCCCAGTGGCAGAGCCGGAGACAATAGACAGCAGGGCCAAAGAGGAGCCTATCCTCAGGGGCTAGAGGAGGCCTGCACAGCGAAGAGGAGCTGAAGAGAGCTGTCCTGCACTGCAGAAGGAAGACTTTGCCTGCATGCTTCCTGATCCTGATCCTGAGTTGTAACCTGTTCCTTAATAAACCACTTAACTGTAAGTATGGTCTGTGAGCTGTGTGGCCATTGCAGTGGATTATTGAATCCAGCAAAACAGTAGAGAGTGCTGTGGAAGGGATGGCTGGTGTCAGAATTGGTAAAAAGGTTGGAGAGTGGAGGTATGTCTAACCTCCATCTCATAGGGATCATCCTTGGGCTGATGTTGATTTGCATTATTCCCCCTGAAGTTAGACATGTTCTGATATTATTACTATTACTACTCCTACCACTTTACATGTTGTTAGTTGACATTAAGTCGATCCCGACTCATGGTGACCCCATGTGTGCACAGTAGAACTTCTCCACAGGGTTTTCAAGGGTGTGACCATTTGGAAGCGGATTACCAGTCCTGTCTTCTGAGGAACCTCTGGGTGGGTTTGAACCACCAACTTTTTGGCTAGTAGTCAAGCACTTAACCACTTGAGCCACCCAGGGGCCCCACACAGAGTGTGGTTGTCTTGAGGCTAGAGCGCGGGGGTCCTGCAGGAGCCTGCCTAGTTCTGGCTTCCCAGACAGGTCTTTCTATGTTTTTCAGACCATAACCCTTCCTCCCTTCATTCCTTTTTTGGCCTGGAG